AGGTCGATCTCGAACCCATTGTTGATGTGATGACTTATATTGAATTTTGTAACTAGCTCATCAAGATTGTAACTTGCTTAGCTAAATGAATTGTGGGGTTCAGTCCCTGAGCCCATTATGTGCCTCTGTAACCCTTTCCACTACCGCCCACAAGATGGGTATGGGGTGCATAATAAATGAACTAAACTAAACTTTCACCCTGATGCCCTGTTACCTAGCAGTAAATAGGTACCTGGGAGTTAGCCAGCTGTTACGGGTTGCTTCCTGGGGAAAAAAATAGTGAAAAAAATAGTGAAAAAAAGTGTGAAAAAAATAGTAGTAGTTACAGTTAACTGATTGACAGTTGAGAGGCGGGCCGAAAGAGCCAGAGCTCAACCCCCGCAAGCACAACTAGGCGAATACAACTGGATGAATACATCACCAATAGGTGAGGGTGGCACATTTAAATGTCCTTGTCTGACTAACTGTTCAATTAAAGTAGTTAAGGCAGTTCCAGCTCCATTAATTTTATTTACTTTTGGGTGGATATAAATAGTTGCCTCGTATGGGCCAATAGGCCTCCTGCAGTTACCTTTATTCTTATATTCTTAAGTTCTTTTACCCAGGACGGCGAGTTTATTGGGCAGCGTCACTCATCCTGTGAGTGGACACACCGCCATAGTGACAGTATTGGGCAGCGTCACTCATCCTGTGAGTGGACACACCGCCATGGTGACAGTATTGGCAGCGTCACTCATCCTGTGAGTGGACACACCGCCATAGTGACAGTATTGGGCAGCGTCACTCATCCTGTGAGTAGACACACCGCCATAGTGACAGTATTGGGCAGCGCCACTCATCCTGTGAGTGGACACACCGCCATAGTGACAGTATTGGGCAGCGTCACTCATCCTGTGAGTGGACACACCGCCATAGTGACAGTACTAGCCAGCGCCACTCATCCTGTGAGTGGACACACCGCCAGTGACAGTATTGGGCAGCGTCACTCATCCTGTGAGTGGACACACCGCCATAGTGACAGTATTGGGCAGCGTCACTCATCCTGTGAGTGGACACACCGCCATAGTGACAGTATTGGGCAGCGTCACTCATCCTGTGAGTGGACACACCGCCATAGTGACAGTATTGGCAGCGTCACTCATCCTGTGAGTGGACACACCGCCATAGTGACAGTATTGGGCAGCGTCACTCATCCTGTGAGTGGACACACCGCCATAGTGACAGTATTGGGCAGCGTCACTCATCCTGTGAGTGGATACACCGCCATAGTGACAGTACTAGCCAGCGCCACTCATCCTGTGAGTGGACACACCGCCATAGTGACAGTACTAGCCAGCGCCACTCATCCTGTGTGTGGACACACTGCCATAGTGACAGTATTGGGCAGCGCCACTCATCCTGTGAGTGGATACACCGCCATAGTGACAGCATTGGACAGCGCCACTCATCCTGTGAGTGGACACACCGCCATAGTGACAGTATTGGGCAGCGCCACTCATCCTGTGAGTGGACACACCGCCATAGTGACAGTACTGGGCAGCGTCACTCATCCTGTGAGTGGACACACCACCATAGTGACAGTATTGGGCAGCGTCACCCATCCTGTGAGTGGACACACCGCCATAGTGACAGTATTGGGCAGCGTCACTCATCCTGTGAGTGGACACACCGCCATAGTGACAGTATTGGGCAGCGTCACCCATCCTGTGAGTGGACACACCGCCATAGTGACAGTATTGGGCAGCGTCACCCATCCTGTGAGTGGACACACCGCCATAGTGACAGTATTGGGCAGCGCCACTCATCCTGTGAGTGGACACACCGCCATAGCAGCATGTACAACACTCCCCAATAGGAAGAAAACCCGCTGGGTTGTTCATCCTGTCACTTGTACCCAGACTGGCTTAACTGTCTCAAGTGACTGTAAAACAAGGGATCAGTATATATTACAACCCTCAAGTTTACGCTATCTTGCGGACGCAAGTGGACGAACCATTTAAGGTCAGTGTCTATATCTGACAAAAAAGTGGTTTCGTAAGTGAGTGTGTGGGACTTATTACACGACAACCCGTTCTCGCACTTTCGTATAGTCAATATTGACTTATTAAATACGTGCATATGTGACATACTAATTTATGGTATGTCACAATAAATTAGTATGTCACATATGCACTTATTTAATAAGTCAATATTGACTTTAAGAAAGTGCGAGAACGGCTTATTACACGACACATGTTGCAAGTGTATCTTAGAGTGTCACAGTGTCTCGGGTAGTGGTCCTTCTCATCCACAGATGCCAACTGGAAGGAAAACCGCGGCGACGTGACCATCCTTTCCTGGTTCGATACCACTCACTGTTCTCTATATCAGCTACTATTCCTTTGTTTTCTGTGTTACCTCGAGACTCTGCAGTGCCGCTCTGAAGTCAGTGCGTCACTGCTCGCCTTGTGTTTCTTTATGTCATAACAATAGAGGGAACTCTACTGGTGTTCAAGAAACGTGGTTCACAATCATTGGCTTTTCTTCACTGTCATCTTGGAAGGCATTATTTCTGACTAGCGCGCACGCTGCTGGAGGCCCACCATCAGTAAGGTTAGCACACCCATCTTGAGGTTATCTTGATATGATTTCGGGGCTTTAGTGTCCCCGCGGCACGGTCCTTGACCAGGCCTCCACCCCCAGGAAGCAGCCCGTGACAGCTGACTAACACCCAGGTACCTATTTTACTGCTAGGTAATAGGGGGCATAGGGTGAAAGAAACTCTGTCCATTGTTTCTCTCCGGCGCCCGGGATCGAACCCAGGACCACAGGATCACAAGTCCAGCGTGCTGTCCGCTCGGCCGACCGGCTCCCATCATTATAGATATGGTTCATGGCCTGCTTCTCTATTAATTTCAAACATGGTAGTTTATTCCACAGATAAATAACTCATTCCCACAGCTGATCACACATGTTTGGCACCGTTTCCTTTCACCTGATGCGTCTATTCACCTAGCAGTAAGTAGGCACCCAGGAGTTAGGCAACTGTTGTGGTTTGCATGTTGAGGAATATCAATAGTCAGCCTACGAGGCTTCCTGTACCTGGCACCGGTACACGAAGTTACCAACTTCCTGGTCAATTAGTTCAGGTGGTGTGGGGTCATCCAGCGGAGGGACCCCACAAGGCAGGCGGTGTGGGGTCATCCAGCGGAGGGACCCCACAAGGCAGGCGGTGTGGGGTCATCCAGCGGAGGGACCCCACAAGGCAGGCGGTGTGGGGTCATCCAGCGGAGGGACCCCACAAGGCAGGCGGTGTGGGGTCATCCAGCGGAGGGACCCCACAAGGCAGGCGGTGTGGGGTCACCAGCGGAGGGACCCCACAAGGCAGGCGGTGTGGGGTCATCCAGCGGAGGGACCCCACAAGGCAGGCGGTGTGGGGTCATCCAGCGGAGGGACCCCACAAGGCAGGCGGTGTGGGGTCATCCAGCGGAGGGACCCCACAAGGCAGGCGGTGTGGGGTCATCCAGCGGAGGGACCCCACAAGGCAGGCGGTGTGGGGTCATCCAGCGGAGGGACCCCACAAGGCAGGCGGTGTGGGGTCATCCAGCGGAGGGACCCCACAAGGCAGGCGGTGTGGGGTCATCCAGCGGAGGGACCCCACAAGGCAGGCGGTGTGGGGTCATCCAGCGGAGGGACCCCACAAGGCAGGCGGTGTGGGGTCATCCAGCGGAGGGACCCCACAAGGCAGGCGGTGTGGGGTCATCCAGCGGAGGGACCCCACAAGGCAGGCGGTGTGGGGGTCACCAATCATCGGGACCCCACAAGGCAGGCGGTGTGGGGTCATCCAGCGGAGGGACCCCACAAGGCAGGCGGTGTGGGGGTCACAATCATCGGGACCCCACAAGGCAGGCGGTGTGGGGGTCACAATCATCGGGACCCCACAAGGCAGGCGGTGTGGGGGTCACAAGCATCGGGACCCCACAAGGCAGGCGGTGTGGGGGTCACAATCATCGGGACCCCACAAGGCAGGCGGTGTGGGGGTCACAATCATCGGGACCCCACAAGGCAGGCGGTGTGGGGGTCACAAGCATCGGGACCCCACAAGGCAGGCGGTGTGGGGGTCACAATCATCGGGACCCCACAAGGCAGGCGGTGTGGGGGTCACAAGCATCGGGACCCCACAAGGCAGGCGGTGTGGGGTCACAATCATCGGGACCCCACAAGGCAGGCGGTGTGGGGTCACAATCATCGGGACCCCACAAGGCAGGCGGTGTGGGGTCACAATCATCGGGACCCCACAAGGCAGGCGGTGTGGGGTCACCAATCATCGGGACCCCACAAAGCAGGCGGTGTGGGGTCACAATCATCGGGACCCCACAAGGCAGGCGGTGTGGGGTCACAATCATCGGGACCCCACAAGGCAGGCGGTGTGGGGTCACCAATCATCGGGACCCCACAAAGCAGGCGGTGTGGGGTCACAATCATCGGGACCCCACGAAGAAGGCGGTGTGGGGGTCACCAATCATCGGGACCCCACAAGGCAGGCGGTGTGGGGTCACCAATCATCGGGACCCCACAAGGCAGGCGGTGTGGGGTCACCAATCATCCTGACCCCACAAGGCAGCGCTCACCCTGCCAGTCGTGAGAGGTCCACATATAACACTATCTGACCAACTAATCATCCAGTAATCCTTCAGTAACTCTCAAGATAACCTTCCTGTCATGCACTGTGACGGTGAACGAGTATAGTGATGACATACATGTTCCCTGACCCGCTGAACTACGTACAGACACAGTAGCTGTACTGTAAACATCACTAATAGTACTTAGTACTGTGCATTTCTCTAGGTCACAGAGTGCTCTGAAGGTCCGTCTGAGCCCAGGACACAAAAGTCCCGGTGCCCTAAATGAGCTCAAGGTTACCATTGGTCGCCTGGCCTAGAGGAGCACCAATCCGGGATGTTTGAGGCATCCTGACAGCCAATCCCAGTTGAGTAATGCTTGTCAGTAGCTAATGAACATAGAGAGTTGAACTGGACACGTCGGTTGGTTTGAACAGTGTGCTGTTGCCGAGGGCGGATCAGCACTCTGATGCGGGCATGAGAGAGGTGTACCATGCGCGGACTGCATCTACCCTGTCTCCTCCACCCTTCTGGTGAGTCGCTGACCAGTACTGATAACGACTCTGCTTCTGGTGAGTCAGGGAGAGTACTGATAACGACTGTGTGCTTCTGATGAGTCAGGGAGAGTACTGATAACGACTCTGTGCTTCTGGTGAGTCGGTGATGAGTACTGATAACGACTCTGTGCTTCTGGTGAGTTGCTGATGAGTACTGATAACGACTCTGTGCTTCTGGTGAGTCAGGGAGAGTGCTGATAACGACTCTGTGCTTCTGGTGAGTCGTTGATGAATACTGATAACGACTGTGCTTCTGGTGAGTCGCTGACGAGTACTGATAACGATTGTGCTTCTGGTGAGTCAGGACGAGTACTGATAACGACTCTGTGCTTCTGGTGAGTCGCTGATGAGTACTGATAACGACTGTGCTTCTGGTGAGTCGCTGATGAGTACTGATAACTACTCTGAGCTTCTGGTGAGTCGCTGAGGAGTACTGATAACGACTGTGCTTCTGGTGAGTCGCTGATGAGTACTGATAACTACTCTGTGCTTCTGGTGAGTCGGTGATGAGTACTGATAACGACTGTGCTTCTGGTGAATTCGCTGATGAGTACTGATAACGACTGTGCGTCTGATGAGTCAGGGAGAGTACTGATAACGACTGTGCTTCTGGTGAGTCGGTGATGAGTACTGATAACGACTCTGTGCTTCTCGTGAGTCAGGACGAGTACTGATAACGACTTTGTGCTTCTGGTGAGTTGCTGATGAGTACTGATAACTACTCTGAGCTTCTGGTGAGTCGCTGACGAGTACTGATAACGACTGTGCTTCTGGTGAGTCGGTGATGAGTATTGATAACAACTCTGTGCTTCTGGTGAGTCAGGACGAGTACTGATAACGACTCAGTGCTTCTGGTGGGCTGGTGATGAGTACTGATAACGACTCTGTGCTACTGGTGAGTTACTGATGAGTATTGATAACGACTTTGTGCTTCTGGTGAGTCGCTGATGAGTACTGATAACGACTGTGCATCTGGTGAGTCGGTGATGAGTACTGATAACAACTCTGTGCTTCTCTTGAGTCGCTGACGAGTACTGATAACGACTCTGTGCTTCTGGTGAGTCGCTGATGAGTACTGATAACGACTCTGTGCTTCTGTTGAGTCCGTGATGAGTACTGATAACGACTGTGCATCTGGTGAGTCGGTGATGAGTACTGATAACGACTCTGTGCTTCTGGTGAGTCGGTGATGAGTACTGATAACAACTCTGTGCTTCTGGTGAGTCGCTGACGAGTACTGATAACGACTGTGCTTCTGGTGAGTCGCTGATGAGTACTGATAACGACCCTGTTCTTCTGGTGAGTCAGGACGAGTACTGATAACGACTTTGTGCTTCTGGTGAGTCGCTGATGAGTACTGATAACGACTCTGTGCTTCTGGTGAGTCAGGACGAGTACTGATAACGACTCTGTGCTTCTGGTGAGTCGCTGATGAGTACTGATAACGACTCTGTGCTTCTGGTGAGTCGCTGACGAGTACTGATAACGACTCTGTCCTTCTGGTGAGTCGCTGATGAGTACTGATAACGACTCTGTGCTTCTGGTGAGTCAGGGAGAGTACTGATAACGACTGTGCATCTGGTGAGTAGGTGATGAGTACTGATAACGACTCTATGCTTCTGGTGAGTCAGGGCGAGTACTGATAACGACTCTATGGTCATATTGAACCAAGGTGAGTACTAACAGCTCCTGGCGAGCAAGGAGTACTGGCGACAACTCCGCACCTCTGATGAGTACAGAGCACCATTGCCACACTGAAGGCAGGTGTGTACAGCTGAAGGCAGGTGTGTACAGCTGAAGGCAGGTGTGTACAGCTGAAGGCAGGTGTGTACAGCTGAAGGCAGGTGTGTACAGCTGAAGGCAGGTGTGTACAGCTGAAGGCAGGTGTGTACAGCTGAAGGCAGGTGTGTACAGCTGAAGGCAGGTGTGTACAGCTGAAGGCAGGTGTGTACAGCTGAAGGCAGGTGTGTACAGCTGAAGGCAGGTGTGTACAGCTGAAGGCAGGTGTGTACAGCTGAAGGCAGGTGTGTACAGCTGAAGGCAGGTGTGTACAGCTGAAGGCAGGTGTGTACAGCTGAAGGCAGGTGTGTACAGCTTTCCAGCCAAAATCCCATTGATTTGTTTATTTCGTACTATATATAATAATTCAATAAATTCAGATCCATCTGACTGTTATGGGTCATTGCAAATTTTATGCAATTTGTTGTTAGCTGATGAAGGCGTTGTATAGCACTGTCTGCCTCCTGCTGCTCCGGCTTATTAAGGCCAATTTGCTGTGTTAATTAAGCTTAAGGCGACAGTGACTTAGGCGGCTTCATTCTTCTTGGTAAGCTTTTACGTTATCTTGAGATGATTTCGGGGCTTGGGGTCCTCGCGGCCCGGTCTTCAACCAGGCCTCCTTTTTGTTACACATCCCCAGGAAGCAGCCCGTAGCAGCAATTAAACTCCCAGGTACCTATTTACTACTAGGTGAACAAGAGCATCAGGATGAAAGAAACTGCCCATTTGTTTCCGCCTCCACCATTGAACCCGGAACCTCAGGACTACGAATCCCAAGCGCTGTCCACTCAGCCGTCAGGCCCACGTCATTAAAACTGTACATTTCAGTCTAGACGGTAGACTTGTTCTCTGTGTTCCCGCCTTTTCTCCATCTAGTTCTCTCCAGCAACACATCGCATATGACGTCAAAATCCCCAAAATTATGATGTGCTCCGGAGGCCTGGTCGACGACCGGGCCGCGGGGACGCTAAGCCCCGGAAGCACCTCAAGGTAGGTGCTGTAAATCGTAGTGGCTTACTAAATTGACGGTTGTTGTTGTTTAAGATTCGCTACTCGGAACAAAAAGTTCCAAGCAGCACAGGCTATGGTGAGCCCGTAGAAATTGACGGGCTGACCCGTTTCCTGCTCCTGGGGCCAAGGTTAGGTTAGGTCTTGGCAGTTTAGTACTTTTTTTGTGACGGGGCAACTCGAGAGAACGGATTGCTTGGCCAGGAGGTCCTGGGTCTTGGCCAAGAGTTCCCGGGTGTTGGCCAGGAGGTCCCGGGTCTTGGCCAGGAGGTCCCGGGTCTTGGCCAGGAGGTCCCGGGTCTTGGCCAGGAGGTCCCGGGTCTTGGCCAGGAGGTCCCGGGTCTTGGCCAGGAGGTCCCGGGTCTTGACCAGGAGGTCCCGGGTCTTGGCCAGGAGGTCCCGGGTCTTGGCCAGGAGGTCCCGGGTCTTGGCCAGGAGGTCCCGGGTCTTGGCCAGGAGGTCCCGGGTCTTGGCCAGGAGGTCCCGGGTCTTGGCCAGGAGGTCCCGGGTCTTGGCCAGGAGGTCCCGGGTCTTGGCCAGGAGGTCCCGGGTCTTGGCCAGGAGGTCCCGGGTCTTGGCCAGGAGGTCCCGGGTCTTGGCCAGGAGGTCCCGGGTCTTGGCCAGGAGGTCCCGGGTCTTGGCCAGGAGGTCCCGGGTCTTGGCCAAGAATTCCCGGGTCTTGGCCTCTCTTCACATGTCAACTTGTTTAGCTAAGTCTATTCACAACCGAATGATCCATGATTAGATTCCCGGACAGGAGACGTTTGGACGCGTTTCCTGGCACCTGATGCCTCTGTTCACTCAGCAGTAACTTGATACCCAGAAATTAGTCAAATGTTGTGAGTTGTGCCCAGAGGAAGATCAGCTGGTGAGCTTGGGGATATCTGACAAGCCTAACAGGTTCCTGTCCCAGATAATAGCTAACCATTAGACCTGTCTATTAAACAGTCTATCTGTCTAACCACCTGTCTATCTCGTTACATTCATTGCCTAGAAAATGTCTCTCTTAATGTACTGTAATTGTTTTTCCCAATTTGTAAGTCATGCTTTCTTTGCTTGTTGCAACTGTTACTCCATAATTCACGAATCCTCTCAGTACCTACATTACCATCCACTTGGACTGGTCGGTATAGCGACGGTTTGGGTTCCTGCAGGGTCGTCGTTCAATTCCCGATGATCCTAGCGGTTTCAATTTCCAGTACAGTCGAGCGATATCTAGCATCCCGCGGGGTTTCAGGATCCAAAGATCAGCCCTTAAATAGGTGGTCTGCCCCTCAGGTTCAACACTGATGGGTATAGGCCCTCAGCCCTTAATACAAGTATGTATTGTATATAATACAGTATGTGACTGTAACCGTTGTCTCCACCAATCACAATTCAGTATAAGAACTGTCAACAGCAGTACGGAGGAAGGGAAGGGAACTACCAGGAGACAGCGCCAAGCTATTACGACTATATAGCACTTGGAAAGGATCAGGATAAGGAGTTAGGATGGGACAGGGCAAAGGAATGGTGCCCAACTACTTGGACTGTCGGGGATTGAACGCCGACTTGCATGAAGCGAGATCGTTGCTCTACCGTCCACCCCAAGTGGTTGCAGTACGGAGAAGTGTACACTGTCCACTGGCCAGATGTTTAGTATCTCGCTGTATTATAGCTCTCCTTCATACATAGGCCTAATGTGTGACGATTGCAGGCCTATACATAAATTTATATATGTATTTTCCTTAGTTTATGAGACAAAAATTGCCTTAAAATGAAGTTTGATGATTTATAATAATAATAATAATAATTAATATTTTAGTTAAAAGTACATAAATACAAAGTAAGTTACAAGCAGAATATTGGATTTCTAGAGAGCTAATATATATATTACGCCTAAATACTGGATTTATTATGCCTAAAACCACTAATAATACTGGACCCTTTAGTTCTTGCAGGGTACTGCAAGAACCCTAGCCTAGTTTTCCCGCCCTAGCCTAGTTCTCCCGCCCTTACAAGCTTCGCCTTTCCTTCTGTCATACCTTGCCTGCGTAAATTTAATAATAATTATAATTCAGATGAGCTTAGTGACTGGACTTTAGGGTATTGTAGTCACTATAGTAGTGTTGGGTGTCCCACGGCAGGGTTGGTGAGGATGGTGGCGGCCGTGGTGGCGGTGGGGACGATGGCGGCCAGCAGACGGGTGGCTAGGTGTCCGGAGACTAGCCACCGCCCGGACGCCCCTGTACCCTCTGGTCAGTCTCCCGCTCTCTCTCTCTCTCTCTCTCTAGTATGCTTCAACACCCACCTTTTATGCTTTATATTGAAAAATAGTATGTAATAGATTAAATACAGTACATACAATATATATATATATATATATATATATATATATATATATATATATATATATATATATATATATATATATATATATATATATATATCAGTAAAAAATAAGCTATTTTATTTTTAATGTCATTTGACAGTCGTCATATTTACAGTTTGGACAGTTACTACCGTCACCTGTCTATATCACTCCCTCTGATGAGTGCTCATCTTTTGATCAGGCTGCATCACTCCCTCTGATGAGTGCTCATCTTTTGATCAGGCTGCATCACTCCCACTGATGAGCACTCATCTTTTAATCAGGCTGCATCACTCCCACTGATGAGTACTCATCTTTTGATCAGGCTGCATCACTCCCTCTGATGAGTACTCATCTTTTAATCAGGCTGCATCACTCCCTCTGATGAGTACTCATCTTTTGATCAGGCTGCATCACTCCCTCTGATGAGTACTCATCTTTTGATCAGGCTGCATCACTCCCTCTGATGAGTACTCATCTTTTGGCAAAGCTGCATCACTCAATCTGATGATTACTCACCTTTTGACCTGTCTGCAGCCCTTTTCGTCTTTTAAAACCACAAATGTTTTCCTGTTTTTTCCCCCTAACTCGCATCTTACAAGAGTAACACTTTATTATTCGTGTAGTGTACGTGATAGCTGTTTTTATCTATTTTATTTTACTTTTTTTATTATTTTTCTACCAGAAACGTGGCCACACATTTACAATGCTAACCAGCATATATACATTTTCTTCTGTCCTCCATGGACAGGGTTAGAGAAGTGTTAAACATATAGTTCAAGGGTTTATTGAACAATCAACCACAGAAGGTGATTCGGTGCTTTTTAAATGCTAAGCTAACCTACATACGAAAATACATAGATACACAGATTTACGTATGCCCTACATAAAGTGTTTGATGTGTCTTTTACATAGTGTCATTAATGTGCATTTACGTGATAGCTGTGCGCGTTGCAAGACTCGTCACGTTGACGCGTCAATATTGATGGTTATGCAAGGCTTGAATGTTGCTTCGTAACGTCTGACTTTTATGCTTGGCGGTGATGGCTGCGTGTTGTGTTGATGGCGTCAGCTGATCGCTACCATGTTTGGTACAACACTTACGTTTTCTATGGATGATTGGCCCGGGAGATTTAAATTCCCTTAAATAGTTAGTTGATTTTACAATTTTTTTTTACACGTAAGTGGGTAGAAGAGTAGATGACTTCTGACTCTCGTTCGCAGGTTAAGAGCTTTTCTTTCTAGTAACTCATCTTAAACCTTACAACTACTAATTTCCACTGAAAGAGTTTACAACCAGGTCCACAATTACTGCTGGGTGAACAAGGGTGAACAGTTAAGGATGGCTGATGGCGAACAGTTATAGGGGGTTATGCTGGGTATGTTAGGTATGGTTAGTTATATTAAGTTAGGCAAGAACATAACAATATAGGAAACTACACAAATGACTTTTGGTGCAAGCGAGGCAGCTCTTATATGTTCCTCATTCTAATTCTAACAATGGCTTCGTTCTCGACTTGTTGCTTCTTGATGAATTGTTCAACAATTCATGACAATCCCGGGCTCGATTCCATTCCCGGGACAGAAATGGTTGGACATATTTCCTTCCACCTAATGGCTCTGTTCACCTAGTAGTAAATTGTAGACCAGGGAGTTAATAAATGATCCTATACAATGTCACCTACCTCTTTATTCTGTTCAGTGAATGATGGCAGGAAATTAACATTAAGAAAAATATTTTAGAGATTTGTGCATCCAGATCTTGCCAGCGTTCCCAACGTCAAGAAATTGTCGTACTAAAGTGCCCTTATCCTAACCTACCAGAGGACCCAGAACAGAAAAAGGGACATTGTGTCAATTTCTCAAGCCGCGACCATTTTCTAGTATAACAGTTTTTGGGCTTAGGTATACGTCAAAATGTGACGATGACCTGGAATGAGAACAGGTCCTCTGGCGGCGGAGCTCAAGTGATAATCTGTATACAAACAGCTCTTAAGTAGTAGAAACATGTTATTGTACAATAATAATAATAATAATAATAATAATAATAGTAATAATAATAATAATAATAATAATAATAATAATAATAATAATAATAATAATAATAATACAAATAATAAATCTTTAAAACATTCGCATTAGACCATGCGATATCCACGAATAACTTTATGAAGTGCTGATCACCCAAAGCACTGTATTTTGCAGGTGGAGTTGTGTGTATATATAGTTCGCTGAGCAAAACTGCTTCTCAACCAGCCAGGCGTCGTATCGATCTCTAGCCGAGATAGCCTAGTTCTCCCGCCCTAGCCTAGTTCTCCCGCCCTAGCCTAGTTCTCCCGCCCTAGCCTAGTTCTCCCGCCCTAGCCTAGTTCTCCCGCCCTAGCCTAGTTCTCCCGCCCTAGCCTAGTTCTCCCGCTCTAGCCTAGTTCTCCCGCCCTAGCCTATATAGTTCTCCCGCCCTAGCCTAGTTCTCCCGCCCTAGCCTAGTTCTCCCGCCCTTACTTCTATCATACCTTGCCTGCGTAAATTTAATAATAATTATAATTCATTGTTTTGGGGTACAGGCAGAGTATATTCATACATTTTAGGCTTATATCGAGGTCCTCCCCCCCCCTCCCAGGGTCAAATTACTGACCCCGCCCAGGATGTAACCCCACAACAAGCTAACTCCAGAGTTCCTACTTACCGTTAGGTGAACAGAGGCATTGGGAGAAGTTGATAGGAAATACTCCCAACCATTTCTGTCCCGCCCAAGTAGACGTATTTCTGAGGTCGAGCCGAATTGGGGATTTTTTTTATTTTTTTCTGTTATTAAACTATAAAGTAAAATAATATAAAATATAGCAGAGAAGCATAAAGAAAGATGATGACGGAGTTCACAAAAGTGGGCACAGTAGGGGGGTGCTGAGCGGCCCAAGTGATGTGGACCAATTCCTAGGACGTTTAGGAAGGGAATACAGCTTTAAGGTAAGGGAGGTGTACCTTAGGTTACAGTGCACACATGGGACAGTGAAGGTAAACTACTAGGTAGCAAGGCAAGTGAAGGATGCGTGAGGACATAAGGAGGGCAAGGAGCTAGCAGTTGAGGTAGGAGACAGGTGAGTGCAAGAAACTAGGTGAAGATTGATTGATGAAGATTAAGCCACCCAAAATGTGGCACGGGCATGAATAGCCCGTAAGTGGTGGCCCTTTCCAGTATCAAGAGCTGATACTGGAGATCTGTGGAGGTGCGACTGTACCCTGCGTGACGGGAGATGTCTCTCGTGATCGAAAAACTAGGTGAAGGTTCCTGGAATGTTGTTGTTAAAGATTTAGCTACTCAGAACGAAGTGTCCATGTAGCACGGGCTATGGTGAGCCCGTAATTGGTTCGTGGAAGAATATATGATATTTTATAATGCAGTACTTGACGGGGAGTGAGAAGGTGAGGTGTGGTGCCGCAGATGGGACGGTGTGGCTGTACGTGTTCCGGCTCCAGGCGTGCATGTGGCACTCTGGGGTGGGAGCCAGGGCCGGCTACTGGGCCTACGCCGCCAACGGTCAGTACGCCCTCAGGGACTACGCCGGAGACCGGTGCAACGGTCCACTCACCTACTGGTACAAGCTGGGACACACCAACAGAACCAAGACTGAGATTAACGGCATCGTCAGTGGTAAGCCAACGAACAAAACCTTGACTAATAGTTGTTGTTGTTTTAGATTCAGCTACTCAGAATAAAAGTTCCAAGTAGCACGGACTATGGTGACCCCGTAGTGGACTTACCTGGCACAAGAGCGGGGCTATGTTTGACTAATAATACAACTATTTTGCATAGACTAAAATACACTTAGGAAGCCTAATGATATCACTTAACTACGGTGGATAATAGGTTCGTTAATGTTGCAAGAAGCAACAGTTCATCACATTAAAGTCTGATAATAAATGTAATTAATATTTAGACAAATTTAGGAACAAATATTTTGTTTTAATTTAGAATCATCTCTAATTAATTACTGTATTATACAGCATACTTTGTGTCGAGACGAGCAAGGACGACAACCCTGATCCTGACAGTATATCTCAACATACTCAGCTATACTTGTACATGTTGCCTTAGAATTTAACTATTCTGACTCGAATTCCTTTTGTGTGTGTGTGTGTGTGTGTGTGTGTGTGTGTGTGTGTGTGTGTGTGTGTGTGTGTGTGTTTGTGTGTGTAGAAACTTGAATGGGCTCTGTCTATGTGAATTATTATATATGTTCAGAGTATAAAATAATTAGCTGAAATCCATAATTATCTTTAACCATCTATTAGCATTAACTAACAATAATAACTATACAAAATAAAAAAACAAAATTGTACGAGTCATTTGGTGTGTAATATATTTCCCGTCATAACAGAGCTGGTGCGGAAGTGTTACCCGGGCTACAGACAGTGCTGGAAGTTCATGATGTCCCACTACAGCATGGGTTACTGGAACTGTAACTACTTCACCCACCACCTGGCCGATGCCCTGGGCGTCGTCCATAGCTATCCAAGCTGGCTTTGGAACTCCATGTGGCCTGGCTTCAGCTGCTAGGTAACCCACATACCGCCGTCAACTTCAGCTCCAGACTTAGGCAACAGTCACGGAGTCACAACAGTCACAGTCACCGGACTGGTTGTCTGTGGACCCCACCTGACTGTTGACCACAGCCCTCTACTACTGAAGGGGGTAGAAATAGCCTAAGCTATTCTATCCCTTTGAGATGTATTTTCTTGTCTCAATAAACATATTTGAACATGAACTGCTGATCGTACTGACTGGGGAGTCTCGTGCTTGTCCTCGCTCTCCCTTCACGTGCAGGTTATGGGCAAGATGTCAGTGTCGCCAGTTTGTGTGTGAATTACGGTTGGCATAATTAGCCCAAACATGAGATTAAAACTTTGTGTTATTGAATCATGCGTCATTTGCCATCTCATACGTCTCAACTGACTCAGGATTAGTATTAAATCTCGTGTCTTCACCAAATGCAACATTTTTTTTTTTCAGAAAAAGAGTTCAGAATGAAATTGTCATTTAATATTCCAGATAAGCTACTTTCCACTGCCCAAACACAAGGAACGCCGCATCATGCAGCAGGATCGAGGCGCTCATAGTATCCGTTAGGAATGTCATTGAGCGGTCAGATGTGTGCTTGGTACATGAATGAAGACTGAATCAATAAATATTGCTTTGATACCACGTATTTGTATCATTTCATCCCGGACTCCATACCAGCCCCTGGATCAAAACACATTGATTGTAACCATGATATATCTGTGCTTCAGCCTACAGTTTAGACCTATTGTCTTGTGTATGACCCTCTGTCCTGCGTGACAGTGAATACCAGCATTATCCTCACTTTAATAAGACTATCAAAATCCTCAGATTAGGCAAAATTGTAATTAATTTTGTCAATAAAGATGTTAATAATAATAAATGGATCAAAACACATGAGGCTCGCATACTGTGAGCTTGGATTGACACGCCCGGGGTTAGTAGTGAAATAAACACCGTGGATTTTCAGTGACTTGCTGTGCATCAAATTGGTATTTTCGTCTATGATCTTATAAAAATCACATTAAGTTTGTATACAAATAGACTTGATGTTATGATTCATACACAAAGCTGCTTGCAGCCTATGCCAAATGCAAGCGGCGAGGCGGGAAAGAGTTGATACAGTTCACATGCAGTTGAGAGGCGGGACCAAAGAACCGTAGCTCAACTCCCGTAAGCACAATTAGGCGAGTACAGGCCATACTGGTTATTAGTTCTTGTAACTTAACAATAGCTTCTTCCTGAAGGAATAGGGCTCCAGTGGCGGAGGAAGGACTACACAATAGTCATTTCTTCCTTCAGGCGGAGAAAGAGGAGGAGGACGAGGAGCTACAGACGAGGGGAACCAGCGAGCCAGGACATGCTAGCACACTTGCTGCATGAAATATATTCACTCTAATACCAACCTCCCTCGTTAAGCTTTTCTCTCATCATTGTCTGACACCATACGATCTCCATATTTATTATTATAACCAAAATCTGTTGCAAAACAGGGAAATGTATGTTCTAACACCCACTACAGACATTGTGATTCTGCAAAATGGTTTATTCGTACCTGGAACGTCTCTCACCTACCTCTCCTGCAGGTCAAGGATATGTTGAGACATATATTTTATATATATATATATATATATATATATATATATATATATATATATATATATATATATATATATATATATATATATATATATATATATATAGTGTGTGTGTGTGTGTGTACTCACCTAATTGTGCTTGCGGGGGTTGAGCTTTGGCTCTTTGGTCCCGCCTCTCAACTGTCAATCAACTGGTAGTATGTGTGTGTGTGTGTGTGTGTGTGTGTGTGTGTGTGTGTGTGTGTGTGTGTGTGTGTGTGTGTGTGTGTGTGTGTGTGTGTGTAAATCACGTAAATTAACACGTGAAGAAAAAGTTGACAGTGTCAGACCACGAAGAATTAAAACAGGAATTTCCTTAAGTACTTCCGTATTTAATAATATATCTTCAGAAGGAATGATCATTCCTTCTGAAGATGTATTATTAAATACGAAAGTACTTAAGGAAATTCACGTTTCAAGTCTTCCTTCGTGGTCTGACACTGTTATATATATTATATATTTTGGTAGCAGTCTTTCCTGTAGACATATTTTATTAAATATTCTATATTGGAGCGGAGTCTTGAGGTGGGTAGAATATAGTTGTGCAATAATTGGCTGTTGATTGCTGGTGTTGACTTCTTGATGTGTAGTGCCTCGCAAACGTCAAGCCGCCTGCTATCGCTGTATCTATCGATGATTTCTGTGTTGTTTACTAGGATTTCTCTGGCGATGGTTTGGTTATGGGAAGAGATTATATGTTCCTTAATGGAGCCCTGTTGTTTATGCATCGTTAAACGCCTAGAAAGAGATGTTGTTGTCTTGCCTATATACTGGGTTTTTTTGGAGCTTACAGTCCCCAAGTGGGCATTTGAAGGCATAGACAACGTTAGTCTCTTTTAAAGCGTTCTGTTTCGTGTCTGGAGAGTTTCTCATGAGTAGGCTGGCCGTTTTTCTGGTTTTATAGTAAATCGTCAGTTGTATCCTCTGATTTTTGTCTGTAGGGATAACGTTTCTATTAGCAATATCTTTCAGGACCCTTTCCTCTGTTTTATGAGCTGTGGAAAAGAAGTTCCTGTAAAATAGTCTAATAGGGGGTATAGGTGTTGTGTTAGTTGTCTCTTCGGAGGTTGCATGGCTTTTCACTTTCCTTCTTATGATGTCTTCGATGAAACCATTGGAGAAACCGTTATTGACTAGAACCTGCCTTACCCTACAGAGTTCTTCGTCGACTTGCTTCCATTCTGAGCTGTGGCTGAGAGCACGGTCGACGTATGCGTTAACAACACTCCTCTTGTACCTGTCAGGGCAGTCGCTGTTGGCATTTAGGCACATTCCTATGTTTGTTTCCTTTGTGTAGACTGCAGTGTGGAAACCTCCGCCCTTTTCCATGACTGTTACATCTAGAAAAGGCAGCTTCCCATCCTTTTCCGTCTCGTAAGTGAAACGCAGCACGGAACTCTGCTCAAATGCCTCCTTCAGCTCCTGCAGATGTCTGACATCAGGTACCTGTGTAAAAATGTCGTCAACATACCTGCAGTATATGGCCGGTTTCAAGTTCATGTCGACTAAGACTTTTTGCTCGATGGTACCCATGTAGAAGTTTGCAAACAGGACACCTAGGGGAGAACCCATAGCGACCCCATCTACTTGCTTATACATGTGCCCATGAAATGAAATCAAAGACAAAAAAACGCAACTACTTCATGCTACAAACGAGTGGAGAAATAGCAACATCGACCATAGTATCCGTACCCGCATTGAACAACACCTCGACATCCTCACAGACCAACATCACCTCAGCACTGAAACAAGGATTATCAAGAAACTAACAACATTATATGGAGGACCTATGGCAATTCCACGACCAAGAGATGGCTTCCTGAACCTTGCAGGAATTAACCTCACTGAGGACCAAGTCACTCTCCTAAATCTGGGCATAAACTGTCATGTTATGTCCAGACCGAGTGAAATGGCCCGGAAAGTGGAGTTGGAAATTCTGTTGGACGACATATTCGACCTCGAGACACAAAAGAAGGTCACTACCAAAGATACCTTACAAGCAGAACTTATTGCAGAAGGAGGAAAGAATCGAGGCAACTACAGAAGCACCATACTGTCCCCCGAGCTTAGAGCGGCAGCTAAAAGCCTTCGTGAGAACAAGGAGATAGTTGTCAGGAGAGGTGACAAGTCGCCAATATATGTCATTCTTAAAAAAGACGAATATCTGGCGAAAATGAACATCATACTCTCTGACCAAACTAAGTTCCAAAGGGTAACGAAGGACACTACAGCCGAATTAAAAGCAAAGGTCAACAAACTGATCGAAACTGTGAACGCCAAGAAATCCGGACTCCACCTGCCAAAGATCATTGGGGAATATAAACCTGGATATGCGTATGGAAATGTCAAGACGCACAAGCCTGGAAACCCACTTCGGCCAATCATTAGCCAGATACCCACACCCACGTACAGATTGGCGAAGCGACTCAACGGCCTGCTGACTCCTTATGTTCCTTGCGCCTTCAGCCTGAAGTCTCCAAAGGAATTTGTGGACTTACTGCGGGGCGCACGGGCCACAGGGATAAGAGCCTCGTTGGACGTAGAATCGCTGTTTACCAACGTACCTGTGGACGAGACAATCGGAATGATAGCCGACAGAGTGTATCGTGATCCAGCCTGTACTCCTCTTGACATGCCAGAAAGTATTCTGAGGAAACTACTCCAAGCTTGTACTAAAGAGGCACCCTTCTTGAGCCCGGATGGGCACATGTATAAGCAAGTAGATGGGGTCGCTATGGGTTCTCCCCTAGGTGTCCTGTTTGCAAACTTCTACATGGGTACCATCGAGCAAAAAGTCTTAGTCGACATGAACTTGAAACCGGCCATATACTGCAGGTATGTTGACGACATTTTTACACAGGTACCTGATGTCAGACATCTGCAGGAGCTGAAGGAGGCATTTGAGCAGAGTTCCGTGCTGCGTTTCACTTACGAGACGGAAAAGGATGGGAAGCTGCCTTTTCTAGATGTAACAGTCATGGAAAAGGGCGGAGGTTTCCACACTGCAGTCTACACAAAGGAAACAAACATAGGAATGTGCCTAAATGCCAACAGCGACTGCCCTGACAGGTACAAGAGGAGTGTTGTTAACGCATACGTCGACCGTGCTCTCAGCCACAGCTCAGAATGGAAGCAAGTCGACGAAGAACTCTGTAGGGTAAGGCAGGTTCTAGTCAATAACGGTTTCTCCAATGGTTTCATCGAAGACATCATAAGAAGGAAAGTGAAAAGCCATGCAACCTCCGAAGAGACAACTAACACAACACCTATACCCCCTATTAGACTATTTTACAGGAACTTCTTTTCCACAGCTCATAAAACAGAGGAAAGGGTCCTGAAAGATATTGTTAATAGAAACGTTATCCCTACAGACAAAAATCAGAGGATACAACTGACGATTTACTATAAAACCAGAAAAACGGCCAGCCTACTCATGAGAAACTCTCCAGACACGAAACAGAACGCTTTAAAAGAGACTAACGTTGTCTATGCCTTCAAATGCCCACTTGGGGACTGTAAGCTGCAAAAAACCCAGTATATAGGCAAGACAACAACATCTCTTTCTAGGCGTTTAACGATGCATAAACAACAGGGCTCCATTAAGGAACATATAATCTCTTCCCATAACCAAACCATCGCCAGAGAAATCCTAGTAAACAACACAGAAATCATCGATAGATACAGCGATAGCAGGCGGCTTGACGTTTGCGAGGCACTACACATCAAGAAGTCAACACCAGCAATCAACAGCCAATTATTGCACAACTATATTCTACCCACCTCAAGACTCCGCTCCAATATAGAAGCATCAAGAAATATGGACCAATAGGCTTTCTACAAACACTTCTATTCAATATCCATTGTTTCGTGTTCTGTCTTGTGTTGATACTTTTAATACCCTATTAATATCCTCTAATGCCACATCATCCTTCCCACCTCACTCAAATGTAATGCCACATCACCCTTCCCACCTCACTCAAATGTAGATATAAAATCAGGGAAACGCAA